TTTCCCTCCTTTCTAGCATCCCCATCCCGCCGCCTATCTACGCCACCTCCCTTCTTCGTTCTCGCAGTTCCCCGCAACCCATGTCCCGGCCCCTTCCTCGCCATGTTGGCATCGCGCCCGTCAAGGGAGATTTATAGCAACTCGAATTCCTCGACTACTAGTCGGCCGTAGTTGAAGGAAGAGAGGCCGAAGAGAAGCAAAGAGTGAAAGGGGGTGCTCCGCGGTTCCGGAGAACCTGGAGAGCCCTCTGAGGGTATGTGGCTGGCGGCGGTGGTATTGGGGTGACGTTGGGCGGCCGACGCCGACGGGTGGATGGGTTTGGTAGGTTGGAGGGGAAGGCACTCGTCACTCCGACGTGACGGCCGCAGAACTCGGCTGGTACTCCATCGCCTACTCACCTAACCCGCCGACGTTGCTGCTTACGCTACCTGAAACTGGTGTTGGTGGTTGAAGCGTGCTAGTTTTCGCGATACTGTTTCACGAAATGGCATAAAACGCTCGCGGAAACGGCTTCGTCACGTTATTGTATAACGTACTTAGAAATATTACTGCAATTTTTTCAAATTGACAACAAACTTATCTATAAACACCTTTTGCATAATGCCATATTCTTTATTAGATTATTAATTATATCTGAGTAGATAAGTCATTTTTAATAAAAAAAATAACTGAATCTTACGTTCGAGCAGAATGGGAATTTGATCGCGAAAAAAAGCGCGAACGAAATAGTTTTCTCTCTTCGTGATGCGAATTGTACAGATGAAGAAAAGGGGAAGGCAGATATCAATCACACGGGTAGTGACGGGCTGAGATTTGGTAGCAGCTTCCAAGCTGAGGAGCAGCACGGGGAAGTTCTACCCGCAAACAACTCCGTCTATTCCATCATTATTTTTCTGAGAAGCTCGCTGTATTGATTCACAAGTTATCAACGTGTCAACACAAACTCTCTTTTTTACGAAGAGGGAAGGCTTATTAAATTATCGGAATGAGATTATCATTAAAGTTACTTGATCTTAATTATTATAAATAATAACAAATTTTATAATAATTTAAATGGTTTTCGTAATTACATTTTTGCAATTTATACTTTTTATTAAAAGTCTGAAACATAGGCACCTTCATATGTAAACTTTTAAATAAAATTTAGATAAATCAATACGTTTCTTTTTTACTTTACATAAATCCGTTTTTTAGACATTTTATATATAGATATTTTCACGTTGTGAATTCAGCCGATGTCATCTTCCATAAAGAAAGAACTGACTTTCTTTGACCAATATCAGTTATATATTTCAGAATACTGGACCCATGGGAGTTCAACGGTTAGGTAAGACAGACAGCGAGGTTGCGCGCCATAGCACCTGCAAATGCGATGTGACGTCTACAGTAGGTCGAGAGGAATTATTATAATACGATCTACTGTAGATATACGCTAACCAGACGTCTGAGAGATGCCAGAAAATCGGGATATGTAAATAATAAAATATTCTTTTGTCTTACACGTATATTGATTACTTTAATTATGTAATAAATATATCATGTTGCGCTTATAGGTCATCTGCAGAAAAAAATCATTGTATGTTCTTTCTAATATATATATTGTGTATTGCCATGAGTAATATCAACTTTAATTAATTTTAGAGTTTGACCAGATCATCGGATGTCATAACTCGATTTCGTTTCTAGAAACCAGAAATTGTGCCATCTACGATAAATGGCTGAACAGTTTACCTCTGAAACTCTTTTAACACGTAGTCGGTAATTTGTCGAAGATACTACATCTAATATCGGTCCACAAATCTCACAATAGTTCACTGAATGTCTAAAAGATGGCAATATAAGCTGAACGCAGCCATCATGAATCAAATTGTGTCGAAAAGAAGGGGGGATGATGGTGACGAGAGGTGGTCCTTTGTCGGTTAAGCCTACCACTCATAGGGTGGAGTTTGCCACACGCAGCCTACTACCTGCAGTTGCAGCATTGGCGTAGAACAACAATTTTATGCAGTCTTTATTAAAAATAAAAAATATGTATACATTATATATGTATATTTAATTCAAACCTCTATAGTTTAAATGTATCTTAAACTTGACACATAAGTATGTACATACATTTAGTTTATTAAGTTTACTTTTATATATAGATTAATATTTTTTATATATCTATTAATATCTTTTATAAAAATTGTTTTATATATGTGTCAAATTTAAAGCAATTAATATTATTTTATTCTTTGTAAATAAAAAATGTAAATAATATTTAAAAACATATACATTCTTACGTATTGCTATTTCCCAATTGCAAAATTAAATGATTGTTTTTATTTTAAAATAGGATGATATTCTTATCAATTGCGGTGTATAAAAATTAATTTAAGTAAACATTTTTTCCCCCAAAATTTATACATTTTTTAAAAACGTTTTTTAATACATCCTAATGCAATAATTCTGAGATATATGAAAACATAAGAGCAACAATAAAAAAAGAGTTAATATAATAGTTAAAAAATTACATTACAAACTTTATTTCAACATTGCAAAAATTAATGAATTATAAGTGCACTTTATTTTAATCATAATTTAATATTTAATATGATAAATTAACTCATAGATATATAGATCTCTCAATTTTTATATAGATTCTTGTAATTTATATTTATTGTTCTGATAAAACACTATTATACCGATATCCAATCACTGTTTCTGATAGTATTCTATTATACCGACATCAACAAACTTATCTTGATGTAATTTGAACATTTTTAACATATTAACTTAATCTTAAACATTAATAAAATCTAATTTGTATAATATTCATATAATAATAAAAGTTATTTTTATCAATACAAGCGCAAAAACTTATTTTGTATGTCGATAACATATCCTTGGAGAAGAATTCCCCTTACAAAGACCGGTATTCATAGTCGGTTCTTATATTTAAGACTATAGTACTTATAAGTAGAATCTTAAGATGTCATTAACCAATCACAGAGTCGTATTAGCATCTTAAGATATTATTTAAGACGGGCTTGAAATAAGCTCTGACTATGAATACCGGCTAAAGAGAATTAATTATTTGAAGTTTTACTGTAATATGAACTTTTCTTCTATATCTGCAACCAATAATTGATTCATGAATTGTAAATCGTAGGAATTTAATTTTACTGAAGCAGCTATCTTCAAAGAGAATTATTACATTATTGATCTCTGCTGAAGTAATTAACATTTTCTTTAATCAAAAATACTATAAATCTAATATAATAATAATATACAAAGAAGATAGAAGAAAATTTTTATATAACTTTCTTGCTTCTTAACATTTATTTTGTAGCACTACTCTGTAGCACTGATTCTTCTCACACGGTAGGCAACGAGGTCTGAACACTGAGGTTTCTATTTTAACTACGCTTTTGTGCCGAAAGCGTCACTTCAAAAAGATGAAAGAAAACTTTTAGAAAATAAAAATTTCTTTTTCCTATGTACAGATGCATTAATTGCAATATTAACATGTGTTAAAAAATAAAATCTTACAAAAAAAAATTTTGATAATCTAAATTTATTCATATCTTGCAGTTAAACATATGAATGATGTAGTTATGTCAAACAGTATAATTTATTTTAATAGATATCACAAATAACTATAAACTTTTGTACATAAATAATTATTTTATTAATTTATATACTGCTTTATTATTATGCACATCAAACCTAGCAATGTTTTAATAAAACATCATTTTTATGAATAACTTTATCAGAGTTTGTAATATTGTGATCTTCAGCTATTGTTTAGATACACAAGTGTGTAAATTACTCACATAAGTTCAAAACAATAATTTACATTGCAAATAATAAAATTATACAAAAAATGACATAAATGAATAGAATCAGATATTTCTTTATCTTTTTAAAATAAACTTGCTTTCTCCGTTGAAAATAATAATTATTCTTTTGTACAATATTAAGTAGCATAATAAAATTTAACTAATATATGTATAAAACTTTTTTTTATTTAAATATACAATAATAGAAGAAATTTTATAATTTTTCCTTTAAACAACAAATAACTTTATAATTTTATAATCTTACAATATATAGATTGTAATAATAAATTTGATATTATAATAATAATTTTGCAAAGTTTAATTTTATAATATTAAAACCAATAAAATCAATTTCATCGTTAATATTAACATTAACACTACCATTAGTTTTACCTAATGTTACCATTAACATTAACGAATATTCAGGTATACCAAACTTTATTGTGCGGTCTATGATGTAGTCCGACTCCCAGCATGAAACATTCTTGCCTTTTCGAATCGCATCATAAACTTGCCTCACAATGAAAACGTATAATGCAATCCAGTATACCTGAAGTTAGAAAGCCTTTTGTGCAAACAATAGTTTAAAAAGAACGCGATAAAAATTTGTTTCTTTTATAACACTGATACAAACGAACGCAAAAATTTTATTTGCTGAATTTAATAATGCATTTTATTTTGTAATATGTAGATATTGTAAAATAAAAAAAAAATATGTACGAGAGATAAATTGATCAAATTACTTTTTTATTATGCAAATACTATAACTCAATATGCTTAATAAAGATATCGCTTCTTTTTATCGTCATTTGATAATTTGTTTTCTTTGAAGAAATGATTATTACAAATATATTAGGTGAGATGTATGTATTATATTTTATACAAAAAAATTAAATCTTTTTACGGTATGTTTAAAGTAATAAACAAATTCCTATCTCAGGAATATTGTATACCTACAAAATGATTATAATATATTTTTCTAAAAGTTATTAAATGAATACAGAATACAAATGGACCGTCTGTATGGCAGCTACAATATTACGGTTGTACCTACTTTATTTTGTCCGATACTATAGAGAGGTGGTGGTGGTAACTGTCACCGAAGACAATTTATGTTAATGACTGTTCGTAACCGAGGAGAGCCGAGGTCGCTCGACAGAACAGTCTGCAGGTCGCCGTAGCAGCGGTCGGACACGAAGCTCTTTGCTCGACTTTCGAATCCTCCCCACTCCCAACCCTGAATTCACCACCTTGTCGCGTCCTGACTGTTCCATCCCTACGATGGCGACGCCCAGCGTCGATTTGTGCGCATTTTCATCCCCTGCTCGGAGATTCGTTCTCCTATGGACGCCTGTGCGCTTATCGAATGAAAATCGTTTTGTGCTAAATCAGTGTATTGACGTAAAATTAGTGCCTTGTTGAGGATATTTTTACGAGCAATTATTGGTAAGTTTCCATTTTCGTCTCTTTTGTTGTTGTTAAAATCTATTCATTGTTATTCTCTGTGAGAGAAGCAGCCCAATTTTAACGACGTAGTAAACTAAAGGACCTCTCGAAAGTCGGTCTTAAAATCCATATAAAAGATATGGTACGTTTTGATTCTCTTATGAAGATGTAATGCCAGCTTAACTAGCACCGAAGGAGACAGAAAAGATTTTGATATATACGTATCATATCGGTATTCCACATGTTCTTGATACTGTCTATTTTTGTTGAACGAGAAAATGGCTACATAGGCGCGGAAAAATAATTTGCTAGTCCACGAAATTACACAAATCCTAGATAACAATTAATAATGTTATTTGCTTGATGCATTTCTTCCAAATTCTGTAAAAAAAGTCTCTTCTGTTTTACATATTTATATTGTTAATACGTAAAGTATATGAAATTTATTATTGTGTGTTTACGAAGAAAATGCAATATCAAGCAGATTTATTATGTACTTTCACTTCAAATTAGTAAAAAAACATCAATTTCGTTCATCATAAAATATTTACAATGAAAACAATTCATGCATATCTTCTTTAAATAACGGTAGTAAGTATAGAATCCTCTTGTTTAAATTGAATAATCTTAACTCATTCATGTGTGACAGATTAATGTGCTATTCAAAGCATACAATGTTGTGTTAATCACACAGTACTCGTGTCTTTCTATTAGATAATATTATCTAATAGATAATCTTAATATATTATCAGAAAATAATTCTCTATTTAATTAAACGTTTCATAAGAGAAACGAAACGCAATTATTCCATCAGTCTTTCCTTAGAGTTTAATTATAATCGAAAGAGATTATGAAAGAAATCTGATATGAATTTAGTTTTTTTTTTATATGTGACATCTTCAGACGATCGCTTTGATGTATTTTAAACTGGAAAAAATAGGTATCATTAGTAAATAATACCTATCAATAGCCGACGAAATACACTCCAGCACATATAAGGTACCGACGACGCGGTGGCGCCGACGGTGGCGAATTTCGTGATTCCCATATAGCCTCTCGCAATCTGGCGGGATGCCGATCGATTTGCACAGTGTTCCTCACCCGCAACACGGTTCCGTTTCAGTTCATTTCGTAGCTCGCAATGATAGTATATATACGTACGTATAAATGCACGATAAAAATTACCACAGATCGGCGTAGACTTTCATTCGAAATTTACAACGGGTCAGTGTACAAATTTTGTCTAATTTTCGCGAATAAACAAGTTTACTGTATAAAATCAGTGGAATTAATTATAACTATATAGTCTAAGCGTATAAAGAAAAAGAACTACTTTGCACGTTACTGTCTGTTTTGTTTAGTTTGTTTAGATTCTGTGCACTGCGTGCAAACGCTTAAAATCTATCTCGTAGAACATCAGTGAATTATTGATTCAATTGCAGTTTTTGATACTCTGCAATATTCGTAGTACAGACATAGACTTAATTCCTTGATTATTTTAATGAATATTAATTCACATATCAATTTAATAAATATATTTAACCTTTAGAAGATCGCATGACATTATAACGTCTCGACGTCAATATTACATTTTGCATCTGATTATATGTTAAACATGTTTTCCTAGAGCAAAATTTTGGTGATTTAAAAAAAATATCTTTGCAGTCCTTTTAAAGATTAAGAATTGTTTGATATGCTAGTTGTTAATTAAAAAATCTGAAAAAGATAGCAAAATTCCTTTTATGTATCTATAAACGAAACGTTAACGTACAGATATTGCGTTTGCAATTTTTTGCGGAATACATGTCTGTAAATGCACCACTGTCTTTCATAGTTCTCTTCAAAAGCATGTAAAATTTGAAGCAAGCATGTGTGCACAAGAATAAACCGGCTGTGAATCCAATCAAGGACTTACGACGTCCACATTCCACATCTAACCTTCCAATCTCTAAACTTGTTGAGTATCTTACAAAAAATGTTTATCTCCAGAATAGTAATTTTATATCTTCTAATAATTTTTAAGCAACTGTTAAAGCACACGTATTCAAGTATAAAATATGTGCCATGGTTACAGATTGAGAGATTAACTTCTTGATAAGTTGAAATCTAGATTTCAGTCTCTATTTTTTTTAATTTGTGAGAAAAGCAAATTAAAAAAATAAACAATATTTTTAGAGATATAAGATAATATATATCGAGAGAAAAAGAGAAGGTATATGTGTGTGTGTTTGTGCGACCATCAAGCGGCACGTGAATGAACAAGAGGTAGCGTGACACGACAAAGCGTTAAGTGATCGATGTCCGTCTTGTGAGAAGTATGGCCACCGTGATTGCCATATATTTAATGGGGATGTTACCGCCAAACAACCAAACAGCACGTGTCAGGCACGCGTATTGGTCTCTTATTATCCTTATCTTACGTTTTCAAAAACAATTTTGTAATGATATATAATTAAACTTACATTAGAATCAATGACAATAGTTATATAACTTGAGACATGCAAGTAAAGAAACTATTTTAAAATCTGATATAATCTTTAAAATAACGTATTAAGATTCATTGTTGACAATTTAAGAGACAAAATTACTTGATATATATACATTGTATAATTTTCCACTATAAGCCTCTATTAACGTTCCATCCAATTTTATAACTCTTAGTACGATTAAATTAAGGCACCGGTATCATAAATTAACACATTTCCGCAAGAAATGATGTCATGCTGTGCATGGGAGATACAACAAGGTCTTGTTAATCTTTTTACAAGCGACCACGCAGTCAACTCCATCCTCTCAAGCCATTATATCGGTATCATTTCGGTGTGTCTACCGCGTAATCATGCGTAAATTTATATATATATATATATATGATAAATGACTAATGAGTAATCTGCGGTTTGCATATCGGATATAAATTTAATATATTAAATAACATATTCTCTTTCTAATCATTATTAATCACCGGACATTATACATATATTTGTCATTTTATTACGAATTAAAAATTCGATTAGTTTTAATATTCTCCCAAAAATGTATACCCAAGTTGACTCATAAGAGTTATTTAAAATTTCTTTCTAGGGAACAGCTCTGCTCTCCTGACATTTTTCTTTTTTCGGTATCGGAGCAGGTATCACGGTCCGTTGTAGGTAATAGGTCTCGGATAATGGCGACCTATTTGACCTTCGGTTTCGTAGCCAGCCTGCTGCGTACCCATTTCCAACTTCTTTGAAGTTCGTGTCTTCGAGATCCTATACAACTTGTGCACGCGTTGGATTTTTCCTCTAATCTTATTCCCATATTATATATGATAATATTTTATCTTGATTATTTCGTGATCATGATTATATTAAAATCTTTTAGAATTCTAATGTCAAAAAATATTTAATATTTTCTGCATCAATAAAATGCATGTATCACATATCGTAATTATGAATTACTGTTATTAATTACAACGATTTCTATCAAATACAAGAGACAAATAATCCTGATTTGATTTATATATTGCTATCTATTTGTTTTACGATAAACTACTAAAATTTATTAATTCACATTACATAATGCAGAATAAATACTGCTATAATTGGAAGTCCCCGTTTTAATTATAATCTTATAGTAATTATGGCTTTCAAAAGAATGATATTTATTGCATTAATTAAAAATTGTTTTTATTCTTTGACTTAACTGTATCGAGTTGCCCTGATAAAGACCCGCTATTGTAGGTGGATTCGCTTATTATCGTGGCACAAAAGCCGCGTGAGTTCCTTACGGATGCTGCAAGCCCTCACGTGGATTTCATTTCAGGACCGCATAAAATGGTGCTGAAGGGGGACAAGGGGGGAGCGGAACGAAGGGGAAGAAACACGAGGGGAGAAGAATGGAGTTGTGGAACGGCCAGGGGAGCGAGAGGGAAGGGAAAGATGCCGGCTGGCAAGCAGATGGTTGCCCCGTTTATTGGTTTATTCGTTGGTTCAGCCATGACGTTCTGTCCGGCCATGAAACAAGCCGGAGATTCTCCTTGTGTTAGAGAGTATCAAGCAACGAGGCTACAACTGCTCTTCCCATTAAAACGCATCCGCGAGCTACTTACCCGGGTAGTATGTAAGTATAATCGTCAGCTTAAACAATAGGAAATCTAACTTACTATAACGTAAAGACTGATGTGATTAGTCTCGATAATAAACTCACGTGGAAGATATTTACTATTGCATTCGTTCATTTATATAATCTGTTTTATCTATTTGTTTTTACAACATTTGTAATCAAGAACGCGATATTTTACATCGATTTTTATTATTTTGCAGATTTTTCGATACTTCTCCCGCATCTGATATCGTTCCTGTCATGATGAATTTATATATTATGAATCTATAAATTTCTATAAATTCTATATGTAAGTATAATGAAAGAATCTTTAAAATCGGTATTTGTTACAAGAACATGTTATTTTGTTTTACCAATTACAGTTCACAAAAGCAATATTATGTTAATAAGTATTTCTTCACGCATTACATTTGCTGGCATCACGCATGTGCAATATTTTATTATAAAGATAATTTAACATGAAGCTTATGCGCGCTTGTATATTCGACAGAAAAGTAATCAGTTGATTGTACTTGTTAATTATAAACTTTCAATGTAAAAAAAAATATTTTTTTCTTATAATTTATGCAATTTATTTTATAATAAATTGCATAAATTTTTAATATGTATAATATGTTCTTAAAAACTATCTGACCGATTCAAAGCATAATTCATTTGAAAGTTGGTTAGAAAATTTATGGCATCCTACAGTTTTTAGATCGAAAATTATGCACGATAGCAAAGGAATAATAGCGGTTTTGGTGGGGTGTAAATGTGCGTGTTATATAGATGATATTCAGTAATGGCGTCCTGGGGGCGGACGAAATGCTCGGGTCGATAGAAGGAAGGCTGCTTGCCTACGAAACTCAAATACGCTCTCGACTTATTGACGATGATCATCCCCACTTACAATGGACTTTTCTGTGGCTTATCCCCAGGGACGTAATCATCACGACTCAATATATAATCGATTATACCCCAGAAAAAGTAAGTATATGCAATTTTAAACGTTAAATTTGTTTGATAAAGAATTTTTGAAAAAAAGAGAAAATAAACAGTTTCAAGAAAATTATAAAAGAGTAAACTAACAGTTTTTAGCTAGGGAATTTTAGTATTCATGTATTACGTCATGTGTCGGTAAGGTCAGTCGCAGAATACTATAAAGTATAAACACATCATTAGTGACAATCTATTTATAAAGAAGTCTAAAATCAAAAAAATTAAAAAAAAATTTTTAGAGATTTTAGAAATATTATATAATTGCACATGTTGCTATTTAATTACAAATTTAATTTACTGTACTAAAATTTAAGAATATTGACGAGATCGATAAGACAGACCTATTATGTAAATCCCATCTACAATAGAATTTTGTTCTTGATGTAATATCCGATTTAATATAGTAATTTAAATATATTAAATATATATTTGTATTAAGACAATGTTAAACAAAGAAATTGTATCTTTAAAATGCGATAATATTAATTTTCTTTTGAAATTTGTATTTCTATTAATCTATTCTTTCGACATTTTATACCTGAGACTGCTTAATAATACTTGATCCTTAAAGAAGATACAACCAGTAGCTAAATTCGCTGTTATAAGCTGAAGGGTGAAACATTTTGAGTAAGTCAGATATTTTCAAATCTCTTAATCCGGATTAGGGCCCGAAAATCGTCTTTTGAAAGGATTAATATCATCAACCAATTTTACTGAGATACCTAATATATCTCTAGGAAGTCAACACCTTTCAGTTTTCTTGACATAGGAAGACAAATTTATCTAAATATTGTGACATTTCCTTTATAATATGCTTTTTATCTCGCGTCTCTTGCTACATAAATATAATATAAGGTACAATATTTTTACTTTCCTATTATAGAATAATCTCAAAATATATAATATATATCTTTTAAAAATTGTATTATCCTTGTAAATATTGATAATGTTGATATGTATCTATAATGTTATGTTATATATTTTTATATAATATTTTCTTTTTTCATTAATTGCATGTGAACAACCAGCGTATGCGACATGACCAAGTAACCTGGAAATGAAAGGTACGTCGACACGCGTACAGGAATAAAAGAAGCTGTACCGCTAAGAAGACGAAGAAGAAGAAGGAGGAGAAGAAGAAAACCAAGGAGAACGCGACCTTGCTACATTCAGCTGTGTCATCCTTGAGCCGTTAACGCTCAGGTGGTTTCGATCCCAGGGACGAGCATCAATCATCATTGGTAGTGCAGGTGTAATGTGATCATTGTCACTGAGATAACCCAGTACGATATTCACTTACGAAGCGTGTCAAGTGACATAACAGAGTTTATCTATAACAGCGTATCTAAATATTAAAAGAAATGGCTACAATATTTGCCCCTTGATAGCGTACAATTTGCTGAGTCTTTGAGCAAGAGATATTACGTACAACGTGCAACGATATGCGTACATATTACAAATATTATATGCAAATTTGAAATTATATATACCTACTTGTATGCTATCAATTAATTTACGTACTTAATATCAATATCTAATATATTTGTAAAATGCTCCTTGCAAAGTTTCTTTTCACAAAAAATACATCATGATTATAATTAAACAGTAATAAAATTAATGTTATGTCTTTATAAAATTTTATAACAAAATATAAAATAAAAATACGTAAAGTATTGCATAATAATAATACGTAAGAAATGACAACGACAATACTAGCACTACTAAAATGAAGTGACAAATATTACAAAAACAGTGCATTTCTTCCTCACACGTTAACCGAATAATTTCAGAAACTAATTCACATAAAAAAGAATCGAGTATGTATAATATTTAAAAAATTAATTTTAATTAAAAAAAGTATATTGTGTCTCATATAGCGTTAAATGTGTCTAATTTTGCTAACTTGATATTTTTGACGACGATATTTTTTGAAGTTTACGCAGAGTTTGCGCTAAAAGCAGGCTCTGCCTCGCTTTCTTGAGGCGTGACTCGGCATAACCAAGCTATTTCCGTATGACTGTGCATTTCGTGAGCCTGTGAGCGTTAATTCGAAATTAACTATATTCTATAACTTCAACGATATTCATTCTTAGAAACGCAAACACCGCTAACGCAGAACAGATTGCTGAGAAAAATGTGCGTGCATATTTATAAACGATTGCATTATAAGACGCATTGATAGAACACATAATACATTCCTAACGGAACTAAAGCCTTTATAGTAATATTGATATTATAGCGTGTTATAAAAGTTAAAATAGAAATGAATAAAGTTGCGCAAAATTGTATTTACAATTTAAAAAATTTAAAACAATGATGTTTATAATTCACGAATTAATATTGAGCCGATGCGGCGATCGAGATGCAGAGAGATATGTGCTGCTCTAATGAGCCGAAGATCCAAGTTTAAATTCGACCAAAAATCATTTTTATTCGATCACCACCTGATCCTTCAGGTTGGGAGTTGTACATAGGGCTAACAACCACCCTACCACAAAAAAACCATTCTTGTAAAGAATTTAGTAAAAAAAAAACCGGACAGAGAGAGAGAGAGCCTATACGAAATAGCTGAATGAAAAAAAATTGCTAATAAACCTATACAAGAGCGCTATAAAACCGGATATACGACACATATTTGAACATTGAGCAGAAGGTCTGCCCAATGTTCAAATTTGTCTTATTTATTAATTCTGTGTTTTACAATTAAAATATTGAAATTGATATTAATAGGAAAATATTTTCAGGTTCCTAATGGTATCTGCGAAGTCTACTGAAGATCACATACTGGGCGGACAAAGAAGTTAAGACCGGCACGTATACATTAAGTATTTTTAATATATAAGAAAATAAACGATAGATAACGATGTGCCGTACAAGAAAGCCCAGTTAATGCTCTACATCTACCCTGTAGATCCGAATTTGTTTGATAAGAGGCGACAAATTCGGTTCTAGAGAGGTTTGTGTGGTGCATACAAAGCAACGGTGATCTTTGAAAGAGCTAAAAAATATCGATTAAAATTATATTTATAAATCTAAAAAAAAAATTGTTATTAACTTAGCATTGTATATTTAAATACTGAACACAGTTTCGATAGATTTTATTGCGATAAATATTATCAATGTCATCAATATGTTCTCAAAATTTTTGTCTCCACGTATAGTAAATATAATATACATGAAGCATGAAGTCTAATTTTATGACTAGAACGGAATTCATAATATAAAATCAATTAAAAATTATGGGAACGTTATAATTGTATATTCGTGTGTGGAGTTTAGATATGTGTTACGTGACTATATAATTATACAGTTACAATTAGGTAGAGATACTTTTGAATTCACTCATGCGTATTATGGACGAATTATTAATAGCGACGGAAAAATAACAAATGTAAAAAATAATTAATGAACGTCATTACGCCCATGGACTTGGTTGTATGCATGTTGGCGCACTGTCGATGATGAACTGCTACGTCTAGCGTGACCTGTTGCACATAAGTTCACTCACACATCGTATTAAATTGTACATTCTCCTCGTCCTTTATACAGGTAGATTCAAATTCTACTTATAATTAATATTAGAATAGAGTAAAATATTTGTATAATATTCAAAGCTTAGATTTGGAAATAACTAATTTTACAAAAGTGTCTTGAAAGCACATTACTCAACAAGATTCATGATGACTAGGCGCTAAGAACTAGTAAATTATTTTTAAATATTTTTCTTCTATATTATTTTTGTCACTTCTATATATCACTCATAATATTCTCTCTCTATATTTTTTTTAGCCCTATATATCAATAAGGTAATTTTTTAATAGAAATATTACCTTTTAATTTTGTTTGACACATGCAATAGATATACATATAGAAACGCATGTTATTCGAATTCCAATGTTCTATGTTAAAAATGATTTAAATATTACAGTTGATAACTGTAAAGGCAGTAACTGAAAACCATACTGAAGTATTTCAAAAGTTTTATTTTTAATAAAGATTTAAATAAAAAGAAAAAAGAGAGAGAGAGAGAGAGAGAGTGAGTGAGTGAGTGAGTGAGTTATACACATTACTATATAATTTCAACTACGTAATCTTCTGTGATAAACATGCCATAAATATCATTTAATATTCTAATCTAAAGTATGACACGATTTTCTTTTATACTTTTGTATCACATAATTTTACCATCTTGTATCTTTGCAACGATTATTCATTGAATAGACATCACATGCGGATGCACGATTTCTTGAATCTTTCTGTAAAGGCTGAAGCAAATCCATTAATCTCTGATCGTGTTCATATTAAAATGACATGCCAGTCGTTACGCAACTACTCATAAGTGCTAATGA